AGATATCCCAATCCCTTAGGCCTTAGTAGAAATTAATGGAGTTACTTACCCACAAGGAAATTTTAGATATGTAAATTAGTTTTACTTCTCTATCTCTTCAGAATAAAAAGAGGGATTAGCTATTTTGCTTCTTGTTTTTCTCAACTATTTTGCTTCCCTAAGTGAAAGATACTGTATTTATGTTTCTCGTGCCAGTCTTTGAGTTAACCATGTGTTTTCTGTTTGAATGTAATCTTTATTTAATATGGTAAACTTCACTCTCCCAAAGCTCCCCCCCCCCCCCCACCCACACACACACACAAAAAAAAAAAAATGGTAGAATAATAAATATTTTTTATTTTTAATTAGAAATTTTGAATTCGAACTCTTTCTTAGAAAATATTTTTTTCCCCAATATAATTTTCTTCAGCATGAGTTTAAAGTTAGTCCACTCCAATATAGATATCGGACTGAATTACTTTCTTTCCGCGATATAATTTTTTTTTCAACATGGTTCAAATTTAGGTCACTCCAATATAAATATCGGACGTCAACTCGGAAAACCAACAAAAGTTGGAAGTAGAAAAGTCTTCCCTCACAAAACAACCCATTAATCAAATATGAAATTGCCCTTCATTTTTCCTATTTTCTCTCTGTTTCTACAACTTTGACAGCAGCTGATCAGTTTGCACCGCCGATCTCTTTTCTCGACTCAAATCCGGCGAGTTCAGAGCTCATAAAAACTTAGTGAGTATTCTTTTCTTCTTTCTATTTTCACTGAGATTCGATGGTTGTGGGGGCGGTAAGTAATGATTCGGATCTTGCTTTTTTTCTTGCCCCCAAACCCCCCCCCCCCCCCCAACCACACACACACTCACAACTAGGAGCTCAAGAGGGGTCCTTTCCTGTTTAAATCCCTTTGCGATTCAAATTTCTCCCTAATGATTGGGGGTGTGGGGGTTTTACCTCTATGCTATCCATTCCTTACTGGCCGGCTAAAGTACAATGACAAAGACTTAATTGCGTGGAATGTACCTATTTATATAGGATGATAATGTTTTTTCATGGTGCAGTGCAGCTTTTTTTTTTTAAAACTAAAAAAGAAGTGCTATGCAGTTTCTTTTGAACAAGTGTTTGCCAATAATAGTTTCATATAATGGCAGTTTGACTTGTAGTTTTGCTTCTCAAACCACAAGGAAGTGATCATTCATGTGAACTTTTGTTTATGTGATGTTCTCATTTTCCATTGTATGAATATTGACGTTTATGCTGCTATATATAGGCAGGTGGAGCCCATTCCTTGAATTTTATTCTAATTGATGGGACGTGGAGCAATTCGGGTGCAATGTTCAGCCGTTTAAAGGTATAATAGCTCGCAAACGTAACTCTTAATTTTAAATTCAACTCCATTATTAACCAACAATTTTTACGCATGAACATTGTCAAAAAGAGGGGGGGAGGGGGATGATAGGATTTGTTTTTTGATACCGTGGTGTCTGAGTCAACCTGCGCGCACCTCAACTGTGGATACTACTTTACTTGCTTTAAAGTTTGTTATATTATATAATAAGTTGGAAAACCTTGGGTGCAAAAGAATGATAGATAATAAGTTGAGGTTGAACCAATTAGATTGAAGTACTTATATTACAGGACATTTAAAAAGGTTCTTTTTTGATGGACATTTGAAAAGGTTTTGCCTCTACTGTGGTGATTACTTTAGTTGCTTTAAAGTTAGTTACATTATATGCACTGTTTCAATTGCAGTTGTGCATGTTAGAAACACTTAAATTTATTAATGAAGCTCTATCAGGGGAAATAATAAGATAATTGACTTGCATAGCTGCCGAAAGGGCAGAACACTTGTGTCTTTATTAAATAGAACTTATACTTTAAAGGGCACCCGAAATCGCTAAAAGGAGATCCCACAGATTGGTATTGCAGTGAATGAGCAAATGATTAACATCTTCATCAACTTGCTTGGACAAAACAACAGCAGCAAATATGTATTCTATTTCTCCTTACTTTTTAAAGATGGCTCTTCCCTCTTAAGAGAATATGTAAATGATTTAATGGTGAACTTTCTAGCATTCCCTTTCCAAACCCACCTGTCTTCTTGCTCCATGATTTTGTTTGATGCGGGTAAGTTAGTATATAGTATCATTTGAGCCATCTCAAGTCTTATACGTGCCTTCATAGCTGGATACCTCAAATGCCCTGGACACCGTCCCTCCTAATCTCATTAGTCACACTTGCATTTTTCTCAAGGAGATGGAAAATATCTGTTGTCCCTGACCTCAAAGGTGTATAACTAAAGTCTGATACCACAAGCTTATCCTACCTCCCCTCCAGCAAATATGTTGAATCTTTTGTTGAAGTCCTCCCATCCCTTCATAATCTCCCTCAGAAGGACTGAATTACATGGACAGTTATAGGAGAGGTTATTCATCCAGTGCTATTATCCACTCCATATTTGTATTCACTTATTCGGAGTACAGTTATAGCATTCTTCTTCAGCCTAAACCTCCGTAGTTATTTACCAGTCCTATTGAAGACCAAAAAATCCATAATTCTCAATCCTTTAGATTGTAATGGAGAATTTATATCCCTTCAATCCACCAAAGTGAACTTTTGTCCCCCCTCCTTCCCCTCCCAAAGAAAGTTACATTGTAATTGGTTCAACTTTTTAGCAATAGAGAAGGTGGACAAAAAAGAGGCACATGTATAAGAAGTACAAGATTGTTAGTTGGATTCAAATGAGTAAAACTTGCCGTACAATGGATTATTCACAATATTTCTCTAGTTTCACCTCTTTTGAGCCGAGAGTCTATTTGAAACAACCTCTCTAGCCCACAAAGGTAGCGGTAAGGTCTGTGTACATCCTGTCATCCTAAACCCCACTTATGGACTACAATGGGTATGCTGTATTTCTTTAGTTTCACTTGTCATGCCAAAGTTGCATTGATGTTTGGATTTATTTGAGTTTGGAAAATGTGAATCAATTTCTCAAAGACAAACAATTGATCTGAGATGTTTAATGATTAGGATCGGTACAAGTTAATGTGGGGTGAGGAGGAGATTCCTTGCATAACTCTGAACACAGGAGCATCCTTGATGCATAAACTCAGGTAGAATACATGATCCCAAATCTGCAGCGATGGCTCATTCATCTTTATTACTTTCTCTTTGGCTTTTCACGAGTCATGTCTAACGTTTTGGCCATGTGCAGACCCCAACCATCATGGGATCGTACATGTACAGCAGCAGCAGCAATAGGCCTCCTCGATGAGCTGCATGACCTTCCAAATTTTGTGTCCTATGGATTGGATAAACAGGCTAAAGCACTTGAAGATGCCGTGGAGGTTTTGTTCGAAGCACTCACAATTCGACGTCTTCGCATGGGCAAGTCCATCACCCGTAAACAAAGACACAATCGTGACATCTTTTAACAATGGCAGCAGTTGTTTTCACCTTTCTGGCAGATTAATGTCAGCAATTTTAAAGGTAAAAAACGCGTCTTTACAGACATTTCACTGTTGACAAATGGTGAGGCCAAAAGCGAGATACTAGGCCACACATATATACAGATGAACATCAATAGGACTAACATGTTCTCATAGAGAAGTAATATTCGTTACAAGTTTGAGAGAAATCCAAATCATTTTGGACAATTTTGCTCGGACTTTTTGAAAATGTTGCGGAGTGTGTTGGAACCTCCAAAAGTAGGTACATTTTTAGGAGATCCGACACTAGTGCGGTAACATTTTTACCTCTACCAAGTTGTATGTTCTTTCTATAAATTATTTCCTTCCTGAAATCACTCAAGTCAGAGAGTTCAATTATTGAATAAAATTAATTGCAAGTTAAGTATGAAATTCATTTAAATATGGACAATAGTATAACACCAGGGTACATATCTTCTTCAATCATGAATCAATGTCTAGTCGGATGAGATTGAATTGATGTTCATATGAAATTGTTACTAAAATAACCTGTCTCTATCTTTTTGGTTGTTCGACATTGAGTATTATTAAAAGCATTGTAGCTAGGGAGGACGTTCGAATCGGATGTGAAAATTTTGGTTTTTGGACTAAAGAAATTACCAAAGCTATATTTCATTAGTATTAAAAAATTCATTTAATATGTTCAAATATGTGATTCAGAATTCATAAATTAAAAAGGCATAATACATAAACATGACTCTTAACTCGGTTTCAGTTGTCAACTATGACCTTTAACTTTGGTTGTACACAAGTATGCACTTAAACTTGTACTAAATTGAACAAATAAACACATTTGTCCTATATGGCAATTTTGTGTCTTATGTGGCGTACTACGTGTATTATGACATGTGGGACACGCGTGTCTATTTGTTTAATTTTATACAAGTTCAAGTGTCTACTTGTGCAAACTCAAAGTTGGAGGTCATAGTTTCCAACTGAAACCAAGTTAAGGGTTATGTTTATGTATTAAAAAATATCTCTCTACTTGACTAACTAAACTTAGATGCATACATCCCCGATTTGCCACTTGCTATGTCTTATACCTACTCTTTTTCAAATTACAAAGGCCCTTAAATTTGAACATCTCTCAACGTCCTGACTCAACATCACATGCGTCCCGATACATCACTCACTTTCGGATACATTGCTTCAGTTTCAAATACATCGCTCAACGTTTTGATACATCACACCAACTGATATAACACGTAAAATAACGTCCCGATACATCACATAAATTAGGAATTTTTGTAACTTTTTCAAATGATAGAAAATTTTAGAGAATATAGTAAAATAAGTTGTGTATTAATAATACATGAGTCCGGAGCCAAAAGGGCAAAAAAAATTGTCAAATTCCAAAAGGGCACATCAAATTTTTTTAAAACTAAAAGGGCAAAATCGCTCCTGATGAAGCGATTTCCCTCTTACACAAAATTTGATGTACCCTTTTGAAATTTTTGACAATTTTTTTTTGCCCTTTTGGCTCCGGACTCAATAATACATCATGCCATTACAAAAAGAAGATAAAATAAAGTTGTCAAAACTAAACAAATTTGAACCGCAACATCACAAGTTCTTCGGTCAAATCTGATAAACATTGTTTTTCCCATCTTAAAAGGGGGAAAAAAGTTACAATTTGTATGGAATTTGATCTTTGAAACAATCGTATTGTTCTAGAAAATAAAATTTATAATAGGATTCTCAATTACATAATCATATTTAATTTTTTTTCTCTAATATATTTCCATCCAAAACTTTTACTTTTTCCCTCTTTTGTAAACTTATCTGTGAGCAGTGACCAACGTCTCTATAAACCTCAATCCATCAAATCTGGGCGCAAATTTATCTGAAGAGGTTGATGCTTTCACCGGCTTTGAACAATTTTCATCATTTTTCTCCAAATTATCGTCCTGAAACAAAAAGAAAGAAATTCAACATCTAAATCCATTTGAATTCAAAATAACTTTTAAGCAGTTTTGTAGCAGTCGTAAATTTGAATTTCAAACAGGATCTAAGTTGCACGAATATTGACACTATTTCCACAGAGATCTACTAACTCACAGCACCGGATAACTAAGTTCTCACCTCCAATTACTTACCAAAATTTGATTTGATTTTAACGAAAAAACAAACGGAGATAACTTTCTCTACACACAAACGACATTAGTTAAAGCTACATAAAACAGAGAAAACAGAGGAAAATCCATTCAAAAAACACTTGAATTTTTACCTTGCGAAGAGAAATTCGAACTTTAGAAACAGAAGAGATGGTGGCGGTGGCGGTGGCGGCAGCAGAAACAGAGGCTGCTAAGAGAAGTGATTTCTTCATGTTGTTTTTGGATGGAGAGATTTGGGGGAATTGAATTGAATTTGATAGAGTAGTAGTTTAGAGAAAGTAGGAGGAAGTTGGGAGGTTATTTATATAGGAGAATTGAGACCATATAGCATATGGGCTCACAAAAAGTACGCCGCAATACAAATACAACCGTTCACTATTTTTTTTTCAAAACTAAATAAAATATATTTACTAGGGTAGGCCCCACGAATAATGTAGGACGTGAAAATCGAACCATTTATTCACTTCTAGACTCGATGTAAATTATTAGTTTTATTTTTGAATTATTGACAATCTTAAAAACACTAATTTTGGTGTGTTTTCAATACTTTTTCCTGACCTTGCAACAACTAACTGAACTTAAATACACTCTTGAATTCTCGCCAAGCTTAGGGATGTTTTCAACATTTCTCTCGATTTTTTATTAAGAGTTTCATGGTCCTACAAGAGTTTAAGATCACTTGTTATGTCATGTGACAAATTGGGGATGTATGTATCTAAGTTTGATTAGTTAAATAGAGAGACATTTTTAAGACGGACAATAATTCAAGGACAAAACTAATAATTTGTGTCAAATTCAGGGTGTTTTCAATATCTCTCTCATTATCTTTAATCAAAGACTTTGAGTTTCAAGAATGATATGAAATTGTGTTTCCTAGAAAATGTGTTACTACAAATTATTATTTATACTTTCAATTTTTTTTTTTAGACAAGATTAAAAAATTTAATTAATTACATCTTGTTTTTTCCATAAACTGACAGATAATTTAAAACATACTCTCCTTGTCCCTAATTACTTGTCCACTTTTGAACTAACACACCTATTAAGAAAAAAATTATTGACATAGTGAGTTTACCATTTTACCCCTATTAATTATGAAGTGGATGAATTAAAAATCTAAGATTTTCAAGAAGTTCTACTTTTTTCAAAGTAATTAATTGAGGGTATAATATGTAAAAAGATATTATCCTTTCTTAATTTGTCAAAAAAAACAAGTAAATAGGGACAAATAAAAAAGAAAAAATGAACAAGTAATTAGAGACAGAGAGAATATAATTTTAATAATATAAACAAGTAATATAAAATAAAAGAAGTACCTCATAAAATAACTGAGATACGTACGAGCTTGCCTTACACCATTGTTGTAACTTGTAAGAAAGGTCCGATATATATTTATTTTTAATTCCATTGTAACCTCATATATAATGGCCACGATGACACGAATGATATTTGCACGAGTATATTATTTTGTTTTCTACGCCCTCCACTTATTACTTCTATTACTTACAATTTACAATATTAAATTGGTACATATTTTTAAAATATAGAATGACAATTTTACTGTTATTTTTTAAGTATAATAAATTTAATATGGTAAAAAATTATTATAATTAATAATAAAAGTAAATTAAAAAATAATCTTTTTTATTTTTTAAATTAGACAAACAAATAATAATAATTTTTATAAATATAATTAAAAAAGAAAGTATTAATTAAATGACAAAAGGGTCTTTTTAGTTCTTTTAAGTTTTATGGGTCAAAGGGAATTAGAAATAGATTACGAATACCCTTTTATGAAGTGCACGCATTCCAACGATTGGCACTTCCGGAGAAATTCCTTAATGGATATTAATAGCTACGTCTCAATTTGTGTGATATATTATCGATTTTTGAATTTAATTTAATTAATTTAATATTTTCTTCGTCCTTTTTTATATGTCACATTTTTTACTTTGTACTTGCATTAAGAAATAATGTAACTTTATCATTTTACCTTTATTTAATTTTTTTGGAACTCAAGTTTTCAATCAATGAATGTGAATTAATTTATTTTGATTAATTAATTTAGGCGAAATGGCCTGAGAGGCCCTTGTACTTGACTCGATTTGTCAGTTGGATTCCTGTACTTACGACTTTGCCAACTAAACTCTTAAACTCATTTAAACACAATATTTTAGGCCCCTTTCTCATCTTATGGGTGTGTGTAGGACAGTCATTTTACACATGAAATACCATGTCATTTTTTGATGACACATCATTATTATTATTATTATTATTCCAATGACATCAGAAATTAAATATTTAAAAATAAATAAGATTTAAAAAAAAATGCAATTTTCTCTCTCTCTTACTCATTTCAGCCACTTCCCAGTTCCCACTTCATCCTCTTTATTTCTACCTTCTACCATTTTCATCCCAAAAATAAAAAGGCGGAATGACCTGAAAGACCCTTGTACTTGGCTCATTTTGTCAGTTGAACCCTCATACTCATCATTTTGCCAACTAGACCCTTAAACCCATCAGAAAACAACATTTTAAACCCTTTTCTCCTCCGGTCAGAGTGCGTGTAATGGACGCGATTACACGTGAAATTCCACATCATTTTTAGTGCCACATGCGAAATTAAGTGCTAAAAAAATTTAAACAATCAAATAAATCAATTTTTTAATTTCTTTAACTTTTCAAATAGTCATCTTCTTCATATTTGGTCACAAATTGAGCACTAGATTCATACCCATCAGATCAAATTCTTCTTGATTTAACTTGTAAATTCAACTACAAGTTCACCAACACAAACTCAATGAACCCCAATCAAAAAATTTAAGTAATTTTACAAATTCACAAGACCCATTTATTATTTTTTAAGCTTTTTCAAACTTATCAATGGAGTTTTAAAATTTTCAATAGTCACAATCATCCTTCACATTATCTGCATCTCCTCGTTGAAACCATCTAATAAAAGAATAAGAAGAAGAAGAAGAGGCGGAGAAGAGTGAATGTGGAGGTGGAGAAAGAAGAATGGGCTGGAGAAAGAAGAAAGGTGAGGGCTGTGGTGAGGGGTAGAGGAGAGAGGGCTGGTGGAGAAGAAGAAAGGGTGGGTGTGGGTGAAGGAGGGTTGAAGAAGATGATTTTTTTTAAAATTTTATTAAATTGATTTTTTTAAAAGTAAAATATTGTTTTAACTCGCTTTTAAGCGCGTGTAATCACGCATATTTCCAACTCACCAATATTAATGCCACATAAGCTCGGTCAATGGTCAGAGGGGTTTAAAATATTGTGTTTTGATGAGTTTAAGGGTTTGATTGGCAAAGTGATGAGTAGGAGGGTCCAACTGACAAAAAGAGATAAGTACAGGGGTCTCCCAGGTCATTCCGCCAAAATAAAAATCACCATTTTCATCTTTTTTTATAGTTCACGTTCAAAAATTTCTTCAATCATAAAATGTTTTTATGATAGATTATAATTAGTTCTTGTACGTAATTTAGGGTTTTATTTATTTTGATTTGATAAAAAAAGATATCAAGAAAACTTCAAATTGAAAAAAATATGTTTATATGTAAATTTAAGTAATAGATCTTAAAGAAATAAGTTTATAAATATGGTGAATGATATATTTTCTTGCAAAAACTTTTTTCAATTTTAATTTGATGATTTTATCTTGATAATATGTACGTCAAAGAAGAACATGAGAAAAAGAGTAGGGGTGGGGAGGTGGGGGTGGATGGGGGCTGAGGTTGAAGAAGAAGAGAAAAAAGGTGGTGTGGGGTGGGGCTGCAAAAGAAGAAGAGAAAAGGCGTGGGGGTGGGGCGAGGTGGGGTGGAGTTAAGAAGAAGTAGGTTTTCAATATTTTAAAAAAAAAGTTATTATTATTGTTTTGTCTTACAATTTTGATAATTTTAAAATAAAAATATTGTATTCACTTGCTTCAAAACGCGTGAGATCACATATTTGTCCAACTAAGTCATTTCAGTGCCACATAAGCCCTGTCAATGGTCAGAGTGGTTTAAAAAGTAGAGTTTCATTGAGTTTGAGGGTTCATTTGGCAAAGTTACGAGTAGAAGGGTTCAACTGACAAACGAAGCCAAGTACAGGGGCCTTCCAGGTCATTCCGCCATTAATTTAACCAATGAACATGAATCATTTACTTAGCTTTTCTAAGTTGATTAAATATATATTTTCAAGTCTAATAACTCACAAGGGTAAAAAAGGAACAATATAGTACTTTATGCAATGATTTTATGAAATGACAAGTATTATGTGTCAACTATTTATAGAAAATGATGACATATAAAAATGAACGGAGGGAGTATTATGTAGTTAAAATTTAAATATCAAAATATTATAGAATAAGTAGTATTAATAATAATTCTTTTTATACCAATATAATATAAATATATATTTTAAAATATTGATTCCAATTCATCTAATTTAAATTTTAATATTTGAAAGGAATAATTAAATTTATATAATACTAAATTTTAAAAATTAAATTTATAAAATTTAAATTGTGAACCTGAATCTAACTATTGTTTTGAGACACATCTGCAGTGCCAGGTTGGATTATTTTGCGAGACAAAGCTTCGGTTGAAGTTGCATGTCGAAGTTTGATAGGTAGATATTTTGAAGTTATAATAGCAAATGAGGACACGTGTATGCATTACAACTGTCCACGACAACCTTGTTGTGTTTCCATGGCTCGCCTTTCGATCGAGAATCGGGAAGTTTACAACCATTCATTACTTCATGGAAGTTTTTTTTTCGATGTTCAATATTCACATTGAAAAAATTTCACAGGAGATCACGCTTTCTAATAAAAATAATTATGTATCAAAAAAGATTTAAATTAAACTTCTGATTAAAAATAAATGAACCTATCATTCCACGATGATAACAGTTACTTCTCAAAATTCAGAAAACATCTAACTTCATTTTCCATCTATTTATGTTTTCCCCGACAGATTGCCATCCGTCAGCCGTATTCTGCGGCTGAATGAATAAATCGACACAAAATCAGAATTTAAATTTTAAAATATTTATAAATATAAATTTATTATATTTTAAAAATTACAAAATAAATTAATCTTTCTTAAATATTTTTTTGTGATTTTGTGGCTGATTTGTTTTTTTTTTAACATTGACCTTGTAGCACCCTTCCACGTTTCTCCTTCTCTTTTCAATTTATAAAAGAGAAAATTGTATGAAATAAAAACTATTAATTTAAATTAAATATAATAGCCATAATTTATTTTATTTGTAATTTACAGTAAACATTTCATGTTTTTTGTCATCTCATTTGTATT